GGAACCGCCGTGCCTTATAAATATTCAACACGCAGTTTGTAGGAATGCGAAGACAAAGCCAGACAGATGAATTATTTAATGCTTTTAAAGAATGCAGCTCTTAGTTTCTTCCTGCGCTGGCCTACTTTATTGTATCAGTAAATCGATCTTTAGTAAATTAATTTCCCTCCTTTTGTTTGAGCAAGCAGTGGGCATGGTGGGCTGGTGGAAACCTTCTCCATCCGTGGGCAGATGCCAGGACACCTCTGTAGCTGCGGACCCGAGTGTCAGAAGAGAGTTGAGCTCTCCTCATTCATTTTGTGCCTCTTGATTTGCGTTAGTCGAGCCAGCAGTCGGGAAAAGCATGGAGCGGGACGGTTTGATGGGGACAGCTTTGTGCGTGACGGGGCGGTGTGGCTCTTCTGAGGCTGCTTTTGGGACAGCCCAGGGAAGCAGATGTCAAGAAGGCTTGGATGCATGCCGTAAGGGGGGGGGGTTGAGAATTCTCTGTTATTTTTGTGGCAAATAAAAGCAGCTGAGCAAGCTGATATCAAAGCTGGGTCCCCCAAGCTCCCCACAGGATGGGGCTCCTTCGTGTCCTTGTGGGGCTGGGATGGAGAGGGCAGCCCCGCTCCCTCCCCGATGGCAGGGTGCCTCTGGCTTCATGCTAAGGTACCAACAGCACCAAGATCACATCCCTCGGACTGGATCAAACCCCTGCTGTGTCCTGTCTCTGGCCACAGAAAAGCATCCACTTCCTAGTGATGCTACAGCAACTCCGGGAAGTTGCAAGCCTTTCCAGGCAGTAAAGAGTTAATCTGGAGTACCTGCCTAAAAAAAAAGGAACATTAAATCCACCCAAAGTGTCCTACCCTGGCAAGGACGGGAAATGTGGTCCCACTCCCATGTAAGCTTTTGTGGAGGAAAAGGTGTAAGCAGAGCATCGGTGGAGTTTTCTCTGGGTTTGTGTCCAGCTCCTGCTCGTTAGCCAGTCCGGTCACGTTAATAAATGAGCATTTCCCCGCTGGTTTGCATGCTTGTTGAAAGCAGTGAGGAGCTGACAGTTCCTCAGGGAAACGATGTCGGGGGTTATCCGAGCCCCTGGGAGGTGAATGGGGTCGGCACTGGCCAAAGGGGGTACGGCCCAGGGGGTCCCTTCCACGCACAGCCTCTCAGTTACCAAAATCAGGGAATTTACCTTCTCCTTTTACAAAGCGTTGTAGCAGCGGCCCAGTAAATGTGTCCAAAAATGCTCCCTGGACCAGTTTGAGTAAATGTGGAAAGAAATCCTGCTCTGAAGACTGATGTTCCCTTTTTCATTTTTTATCTTTGTGTTATATAGTTTTCTACTAGTTTTCTCCTGCCTGGTGCTGTCTGTCTTTTCGACCATCGATGAGTACCAGAACAGCTCGGAAGGGGCCCTTTACATCCTGGTAAGTCGGGGGGGTTGCAAAGGGAACCATCGGAGAGGCATTAAAACGAAGTCAAAACCACACTAAAAACCTGAGGTTGTGAGTGTTTAACTGGGGCAAGAATTTAAACTGTTGCTTGTGAGAAGGGGACCAGTGGGACCTGCAGGTACGAAACAGGGAGAGTGTGAAAAGGAGGCATCTGGATCAGGAATAAATGAACAATAATTTTAAGGATCCTTTAAAACCTTTCTTCCTAAACTTTTTCTTTTTTTCTGCGTTTACCTCCAATTGCAAAACGCAGTAGCAAGACTGACCCCAACTCAAAAGCAGCCTGGTGCCCACCAGCTCCCAGTGTTTAATGCTGGGGTTGCTCTGCGTAGGGAGCAGCCCGTGTTGCTGCCTCCTCTTCCCCGGTCCCTGCCCGACATCGACATCAAACGGCGCTGCAGGCTGATTAGGGCTTCCTCAGGTTTGGCACATGAGGCAAGCGCCGCTGGTAAAGAAATGGGAGGGAAGGGAGCACGTGCAGGGTATTGGGGTGGCGATGGAAAGAGCTGCGATGCACAGCGTCGGCGTGCTTGCTTGGCATCAAGGGATGGAGGATCTCCATCAGCATGCAGAGACCACCAGTCCGATTTTCTAGGGAAAAAAGCTCAAATCCCCCTGTGAAGAGTCCTAGGATGGAGTAGCCAGTGATTCCCATCGCTGGTCTTCCCCAAGCTGCTCAGCGTTAACCTCGTCAAGTCCTGGAGAGTAACGGTGGGGGGAGATAAGCAGGTACTGGGCAGTGTTGTGATGGGGGATGCAAATACGAGATGAGAAGATGTAAAACTCCAGTTCACCGGCTATAACGGGCAGCACATCTCAGCACCCCCGGGGAGGGTGAGGGAAAACACAACAGCAAAGGTCTGGCCATCTTCCCAGCCTGGGCTCTCCGTTTAACAGTCCCGGGGCAGGCAGCTCTGCGGGGTATTTTCTGAGGTGTGCAGAGTTTAGGTTAATGGTTTGTATTTGATTCTGGAGCGTGCTCTCCATCACGTTTCTTCCTCGACTGACGGCGTTGTCTGCCCCGCAGGAAATCGTCACCATCGTGGTGTTCGGGGTCGAGTACTTTGTGAGGATCTGGGCGGCCGGCTGCTGCTGCCGATACCGGGGCTGGAGGGGAAGGTTAAAATTTGCCCGCAAGCCTTTCTGCGTCATCGGTAAGACCTGCCTTCCCTGCGTGGGATTTCCCACACCAAAACAGCTATTGCGAGCTCTTGCTTGCGCGGGGCTCTGGTTTCTGGTGTGCGTTTTGGGGGTTGATCCTCAGCTGCTTCGTGGTCACCTTGAGAAGAAAAAAAGTCCTAATCCCCGGCCACCATTCGCCTTATCTTGCACGTGGCCCACCCTGTTTTCCGCAGACCTGGGAGCTGTCCTGTTGCCCTGCGTCCCCCAGGCATCGCTGCCACCCACGGTCACAGAGAGGGGGTTTAGCTGGGAGGAGCTGAGCACGGGAGCTGGGAATCCCGCGTCCAACCTCAACACCGAATCGCTCACAAGTCATTGAAACTCTCTGTGTCTCACTTTGCCTTCCCTGGTGCTGATGAGCCGCCTCACAAGGGAGTTACGAGACTTAATTAATTCTTGTTTGCAAAGTACTCGGTGATCCTCTTGTGAAAGGGGCCGCCTGTGCACCGCAGTTATTTTTAATGGGGTAAGGAGTGGGTGGAGAGGCCGTGCCATTTGCGATGGAGCATGCTTTCAAATATCCGGGACCTGGCAATGGGCATATGCAGGATTTTAGCTTATTCTACAGAAAAGCCCTCCTATAAAACTTGCATAGAAAACTAGGGAGTAGGGAGGTTTACAGGATCTTCGAAGTTGAGTTATTATAGAGCAAGGCTTTTTTTCTTGGCCTTCCTTTGTCCGTGAGCACCCTAGGATCGCTATGGTGGACCTCTAGATTTCCATTCCCAATTTAGATGGGGGAATTCACACCTGTAGACAGCTGTGTAACAGGCAGCTGCGGCTCATTAAAAAAGGGCATGCGTTTTGCAAGGATTTAATCCAGTTCCACAGTGGCGACACTGAATCATGCCAGAATTCTGGCTTTTGCAGTATTTGACATGTTTTTTCTATGGGAAGGATGAGTGTGGAGCTAGGATGCTTCCATAAGGGGTGTGGTGGCTCCTTTCACCCAGGTTAAGATTTATGGCTGTGTGCTTCCGGCACAAGACACAACCGATGCAGGATCCCTTTCACGTGCAGCCTCCTGCTGCCGGGGTGGTGGGAGAGCCCCCCCCATTTGGGAGTGGCTCAGCAGCATTGCTTCAGCTTTCAATGTCCTCTGTCCATGCAGACATCATGGTGCTGATCGCGTCCATTGCTGTGCTGGCAGCGGGGTCCCAGGGGAATGTCTTTGCCACCTCGGCGCTCAGGAGTTTGAGGTTCCTGCAGATCCTGCGCATGATCCGCATGGACCGGCGGGGTGGCACCTGGAAGCTCCTGGGCTCTGTGGTCTACGCACACAGTAAGGTGAGCAAGCCCCAAGCAAGGACATTGAGTCGCTCTTCATGTTCCCCCCCCACCTGAGAGACCCTGCTTTGGTTCAGTTCTCCACCCCAAACATCTCCCAGGTCTGGGGAGGTTGGACAGACACCGTACAGTAACGGGGGGAGCAATGCAAATTTAGAGGCATGAGGTCCGATGGAGCCCTCCAGCCAGCAGAGCAGAGAAAGGAGGGATGCTTAGGTGTTTGCAGGGAATATCTTGAACATAGCGACTGCCTGCACGCCGGCACAGCTCATTCCAATGAGTTAGTGCTAAGCCGGCAGCCTCGTTAAGCCCAGGTGTCATTGCAAGCCCTTTGCCTAGGAGGCACGCTTCAAAGTGGGTGCGTTTCTGAAAGCGCATCCCGCGAGCAGCAGCCTCTCGCAGACACGATTACCCTGCCGGGTTCCTCTTCCCGACGTGAGAGCACGTACCAGTCGCAGAACCGATCCCTGGTGTAAGGCACTTTGGCCTTTCTCCAGTTTGGGAAGAGTTTGTTGACCTTTTGTTGTTGTTGTTCCTGCTCCTGAATTTATGAATTTAACATTTCTCTTATTCCCTGCGCTTTTTCCCCTGAAAAGCTTAGCCAGCTTATTCAGAACAGTGTAAAAACCGTAGGGAGTTTGTGGGGGTCTCTTGTCCTCCCTTGTATTAACTTCATCCAAAAATATGCACTCCTGTGAATTCTGAAATAAAACTTCCCTGAAATTGGGGGATATCGTATCCAGACCCCAGGTCCGTAGCTCCTTCCCGGTTAGTGGAAGGGACCTGCCCTAATCAGAGTCCCCAGGGATTTGGGGTTCCCATTTCATTTTTAACCCCACTTCCCTGTGTGAACTGGGGAAATGTATGTATATATTATTTTTTTCTAAGTCTCAGTTCCACATCTTGAAATAACAGAGCTATTGACACTCCCTTGCCTTCTCCGTTTGCTGTATGGGAGCCTTTGGGACGGGGATCGCCCCGTGTGCGTAGCAGGGCCACCGCCAGTACAGGGTCCCATCTCCCAAAGTGGCACTTCTGATCTCCGACCAAAGCCTAAACAAATGCAAGGAAAGTTCCGATCCAACCGCAAGCAAGTAACTCAGCTTTTGGAGATGAGCAGCAGGATTGCAATTATTCTCTTCTATCCCTTAATGATCTTGCAGGAGCTGATTACTGCCTGGTATATTGGCTTCCTGTGCCTCATCCTGGCCTCTTTCCTGGTATACTTGGCCGAGAAAGGAGAAAATGAGCACTTTGATACATACGCAGATGCACTCTGGTGGGGTCTGGTAAGTAATTTTCCTAGAACAGCTGCTGGTTATTAAAATGAAATATCCATTAACCCTCCATCTTCTATCGCATTGACTTATGGAGTGCTTAGTTAACATTTTTATTAAATGGCTTTAGGCTACTCCATTTAGCTCTTTTTCTTAAATAAACCCACTAGAAAATGTTAGGGGATCACATTTCTTGAATTAGCCGGAGCTGCAAGGAATCTGGGAACTCGTGCGCTCCCCATCGTGGGGTTTAGCTCCGTCACAAGAGCAGAGGCAGGTCAGACGAAGGCCCCATGCCACGGGGCGCTTTGATCATCCTCTCGACAAGCATTGCCACCTTTTAATTATTTAAAATCGTACTTGGGCAACACGCTGTTAACCACACTGGAATAAATTTTATAAGGGCCTAAGCGCCAGAAAGACTTGAGCGCTGGGAGCGCTCTCGCGTCTTTGCTGACAAAGGAGGAAAGGGCAACGCTTTGGGGTTGCGCCGTGTGTGCATGTGAATTATTGGATTACCCGATTAACAAAGAGAGAATTAATGACGGGTTCTAATCTTCTTGCATTATTGTTCTTCTGCTCCGACACTGTGGCGCTCGTTTGACCTTGATTACAAAGCATGTAATGAAAATCCCAGATCTGATCAAATCCCAGTAACAGGCTTGGGGAGGAATCGGCTGATCAAGCAGCTCCTCGCTTCCAACAAAGGGAAAGAAGCAGTAAATTGCTTTTCAAGACCCTTGGTTATGACAGAAAAATAAAAACAAAGCCTGGTTTGACATAAGGAGACCACAAACAATGAGGAAAAAGTGACAGCCCAGAGGAGAGCTCGGTCTCGGGAGAGCCCTGTGCTGATTTATCCCTCCTGCTTCCCAGGCTGAGCGCGCCTTTGGCAGCGGATCCCCCCCCTCACTTCGGGACGTGGAGGTGCACCAGGCTGTTTTGCCACTGAAAAGCTCAAAGTAAACTTTGAGCTTCGTTAAAATGAACAGGTTTTGTCATTGTCCAGCTCACGGGTCCAGTACAGACAGATGTTAGGAGATGGGCAAAATAAATCAAATTTCAGGTCCAGCAACTCACTCCTGGGTCTGATCTGAGTGGATCCAACCCTTGTAGTCTGTATAAATGATAAAAACTTGTACACCAACTTTGTAGCGGTTATGGAGAGAGCATTGCTTCGACTTTGTGTTTCGGTAAGGAATAGCCACGCAGATGCATTTTCTAACCGCTTTGTCAGAATGACATCTAATTGATAGGGCTTTTAGCGGGTCCAATTAACCAGCGCTTTGGGATCGTACTTCCATTTGTGTAAAAGTGGTTTTATTCCAAGTTGAATGCATGAGGGTTTCCAAAGCCATGTCAACATGGTGTCCCTGGGGCCGGCTCTGTCCGGGGAGGCTGTGGGATGGGGACAGCTTCCCACTTAGAACAGAATCATAGAACTGTTTAGGTTGGAAAAGCCCTTTAAGATCACCAAGCCCAACCGTTCCCCTACCCCTGCCATCCCACCACTAAACCCTGGCCCTCAGCACCTCCTCTGCCCAGCTTTTAAATCCCCCCAGGGATGGAGACTCAACCCCTTCCGTGGGCAGCCCCTTCCAGAGCCTGACAGCCCTTTGGGGAAGGAATTTTTCCTAATGTCCAACCTAAACATGCCCTGGCTCAACTTCAGACCATTCCCCCTCGTCCCATCGCCCGTTCCCTGGGAGAAGAGGCTGACCCCCACCTCGCTACAGCCTCCCTTCAAGCACAGGGACTGCTGGGGTCCATGGGGCAGGAGTCTCAGAGATGATGTTCCTAATCAGACAGTCTTTCCCTGCCTTCCCCTGCCAATCCCAGGCTCTTCAGATCCTCTTGGAAGCCTTGGGGCGGGGATAACCCAGCGTTTCCCACTAGTGAGGGCTGAAGTGGGAAAATCCGTTTTTTCCTGCAGTTTGGAGTTCAGGGGATTCTTCGTCTCCAACAAATCTCTCGGCTCCTTCCCCAAAACACACACACAGCAGCTTGCCAGCGCTGCCTTGGTGCATTGCAATACTGAGGAGGGGAAAAACCCATCCCTAAATTAGGTTGTGTGAAGCAGCCGTAATTCATCCTGTTGGGCTAATATGCTGGTTTTAAATAGGAAGGGAGACCAGCTAATAGGCAGTGCTGGGAAGATGAGGAATAAACAGTACCAGATCTTTATGCATGCAAATAGCCCTGCCTTCTTCCCTGAGATGCCAAAAGGGAGTTGGGGGGAACCGTGCCGGTTCGCTTTCCCTGCTGAAGGCACAACCCCGTCTCCCGGGGGAGGCTCCGAGCTGCCGCAAGCCTCTGCACCAGATGGCAGCGCTCTCTGTGTCAGCGAAAGGCAAGAAAACGCTCCCGGCTGGCGTGAAAACGGCCGTGTGTCGAGCAGGGAGGGTGGCAGCGCTGGCCCGGCTGTCAGGGCATCGCCGTGTCCCATGTTGGTGCCCATCCCAAAATGCCGGGGGGTGCTCCTGGGTGCCTGAGCCGCACCTCGACTTGGTCAGCTCAAGCCATGTGGTGACCCTGGCTCCTCCACGTCCCGCTCCGGTGTTGCGGGAGTTTTGGCCGTGTTGGTTTGGTTTTAAGGCTGGCTGACCAAGGGCTCTGCGGCGATCTCCTCCCTGCAGATTACTCTCACCACCATCGGCTACGGGGACAAGTACCCGCAGACCTGGAACGGGCGGCTGCTGGCAGCTACGTTCACGCTCATCGGCGTCTCCTTCTTCGCCCTTCCTGCCGTAAGCGGAGGCTGCAGTGTCTTGCTGGGGGGGTAGGGGGGAGGCTGAGCTCTGCCACGCTTTGTCCCCGGCCCCTGGAGCTGGTGGCCACGCAAGAGCTGCGTCCAGCGGCGCGATGCACCCAGAGACCTCCCAGCTGCGACTGCTCCGTGGCTTTTGAGCCAAAAAAAAGGGGAGAAGAGGGGAAGCCATGCCTGAATACCCACAGCCCGGGCACTATGTGTGTGAGCAAACGGGATGGAAACTCTAGATTTGGCCCTGAACAAATATTTACTGAAGTGAAACCGTTTTTTTTCCTGCAAAGGGCTGTTCCTACGGGTGATTACACCATTTCAGCACATTGCCCCAGTCCCTTTCAAAGTGTGTTTCAGCATGTTGCATGGATCTGATCTCCCTCTCTGGGGATAACTTGCTGAATGCCAGCACGGTGTGGTTATTTTGTGTTTTACCAGGGAGCTGGAGGCAGTTTGGTAAAAGCAGCAATTCCAGTGAGTGCCAGCAAAGTCCGCTCCCCACTGCTGCCCCTTGGTGGGGAGGGTGCCTGCCAGGGCTGCCTTGGGTGAAGGCTTCTCCTTCCTCCCCCCATACATTTCAAGCAAAAAATGAGCCAGAACAAACCTTTGGAGGGAAAAATTGGCCACAACTTTTTAGTGAAAAGTTAGCGAACACCTTGCTGACTGCAAATTTTCATTCTCTTTCCAAGGGCATCTTGGGTTCGGGGTTTGCTCTGAAGGTTCAAGAGCAGCATCGCCAAAAACACTTTGAGAAGAGGCGAAACCCAGCAGCGGGCCTGATCCAGGTGAGGATCGCATCCAAGGAGCCTGGGGGTGACATCAGCCTGATTTTGGGGGGCTTAATAGACTTTTAGAAGCCGGGGGGGAGACGGGCAGGTGAAAAATGGGGCTGTGTCTGCGAGGTGTCAGACAGCAGCTGGTGACTGGTCTCGTCTGGGAATAAATGCCGGGAAATCAGCCATGGGAAAAGAGCATATGTGGTAGGCAATCTGGGGGAGAGCCGGAACGGAATCCAGCCCAGCCCAGCAAGGCAACTGCATTAGGACAGGCTGTTTTCACCAAACTTCTTCACCCCACCCCCCCCGAGAATATTTATACTGGTATAAAGTTACAGTTGGGAGCATTTTCTTGTCGATAACAGATGTCTGTGCAGAAGGCTGGCCTTGGTGATTTGAAATTGGAGGCACTTGACATTCCCCTGCTCCTCTCTCTCCAAAGTTTTTAACTCTAGAGTTTAACTCTAATGTGCCACAACACCCCTTGGACACCCGACCTCGCCCTGGCAGCGAGTGCCTGGCAGCCGCAGCACTTTTAAGCTGGGCTGAATGCTCAGGAGTGTCATGGTACCGGCCCAAATTTGTCATCTGTCAAGCCAAGGAAAAGGCAAAATATCGGCCCCATCCCACAGAAAGCAGAGGGAGGGCTCGGGGTCGGCTGAGGTTTATAACACCAGGAGTGGTGTTGGCCGTGCCTGGGTCCTCCATCCCACCGTGTCCCCTCCATAGGCGGCTTGGAGATTTTATGCCACCAACCTGGCCCGGACGGACCTGCACTCCACCTGGCAGTACTACGAACGCACCGTCACCGTCCCCATGTACAGGTACCTGCTCCTCCACCTCCCTCTTCCACTGCCTTCCTTGTGATGCCACTGTCTCCATATTTATTTTTCTTATCTGGATCTATAGTTTCGTTTCTTTATTTATTTTTTAGGTTGAAAAAGTTGATTTCAAGAGCTCTTAAGGGCTGGTATATGCTTTTTCTTTTTGAGTTTTTTTGCTTTGTTTTCTACATGTATTTCTTTTTGACTTGATTTTAATTTCCCTGTTGTTTTTTTTCTTTTTTTTTTTTTCTTTTTGTGTCTGTGTGTGTACGTGCTCTTCTTTTCACCTTTATTTCTCCACGTCCGCTGGTAGTTGCGTTGTGTTGTGACAGTTGCCGTGCCCAGGTGTGAAGACCTCCCTCCTGAGCTGCCCTGGATCGTAGGTAAACGCTGCCCTCGCCCTGCGTGCAGCTCCTTGCGCCCGCTCGGGCTCTCCTTGCTGCTCCAGCTGGTCTCTAATGGTCCTTCTGCCTTCCAGCAAACTTCTATCCCTCCTTTGACTGGCCCAGCTCTCTCCCCAGGTGCATTTGCTCTGGGTCCCCCTTTCCTTTCCTTTCCTTTCCTTTCCTTTTTTTTCTTTTGAATTCTCAAAGAGGTGAAAAACCAAATCAGGATTCAGCGAGCATTTTCCCATTCCTTGCTTTTCATTTATCCCTCGCTGACACGAGTAGGGAAGGACGGCGGAGCCGCCATGGGTGATGCTGATAAAGCACCACTGTGTTTTAGCAGCATCCGTCTGGCTTTAAGGGGAGGTAACTCGTCACCGTACCCAGGCTTTTTCAGCTGAAACCACACAGGTCAGGGCAGTGCTGTGGGAATTCCCAGCCTCTTGGGATTTGGAGCTTCATGGAGCTGGGGACAGAGTCCCCTGCCATGCCTCGCTGCCCTCCGGGCCGTGGGGAAGCACTGCATCCTCCATGTCCCCCTCGGGGTTGGTGGCGTTGAGGAGGAGGCTTCCCCAGACGCCAACGTGCAAAGCGTTGCTCTTCACCTTACACTTCGCACTGCGCCGCATCGCGGGCAAGGCTGTGCATCCCTTTCCAGCGTGTTTTTAGGGGCTAGCCAGATTTCTTTGGGTTTGAACAGGAGTTGGACGTGTCGGTTTGATATTCCTGGAGCTTTTGTTGGGTGTGCTGGGGCTCTGGGTGCCCCATCTCCCCCCTCCCAAGCAGGGTTGTGGTCCAGCACCGGGTTGTGCCACTGCAGGTGTGAATCCCTCTGTGTTTTCCCATGTTACTGGTGCCTTTCAGCCCTCGGGCAGACAATCTGAATGCATTTCCTAGCATAAGCATTAGCCTGCACTTGAAACACAGCGGCCAGCCTGTTAAACCATCTTAAAAACCTGTTGGAAGTCACGTTGTCATGGTCAGTAAGTTTTCATCGGATTCATTCCCAGTGTGTGTCTGATCGGTTGCTTTTTCCCTAGAGATTTAAGAACCGGCTTCAAGGTTTTGCTTAAACCCAAACCGACAACCCAACAAACCAGAACAAAACTGTTTTTCCAATAGCATTAAACTCACCCCGCATCGAAACTCTCCCTCCCAGTACTTGACCTTCTTGCTGCAGCACCGGCTGGGATCAGCTACTGGGGAGGATGAGGAGCCTGGTCCAAAGTCCGCTGCAAAACGCAGAAAGCCAGGGGCTGATTTCAGCGGACTTGGTCAGGTTTTACTGCTGTTCGAAAGACTGAACATGCAGCCAGACATGCAGGGACGCCCTTTGGCACGAGGACGTACTGGGGTGATTACTTGCTACTTAATCCACTTGTTAAAACCTATGTTTCCCATGGAGCTAATACCTGGAGGAAAACTAAGCTTCAGAGCTCCACAAGAGGCTAAATGAAAACTTTGGGGAGGAGAAAGAGCAAAAAATGCAGTTCTGTGAAAAGCCCAGCTGCCTGGAATAAAAAAAGGCAAGAAAAAACTGCAGCAGGGTCGTAGCCATTCTGCTGGCTGATGCTGCGGATGCTGGTCCCGGTGCTGGCCCCAAGCCAGGTTTCTGCTCTCCCAGCTTCATCCTAAAAGCCCAGGCGAAGTGAATGTGACCTGGGAGAGGGAGCCGTGGGTGCTCTGATGGATTCAGCTGGTAGTCAGGTGGAATTTTTTTCACCAAGAAAGCCATGAACCTCTTTTGAATGTATTTTGGATGCAGGCAAATAAGTTAATTAGGAAAAAAAAAAAACAAACAAAACCAACCAAACAAAAAAAAGGGGGTAACTGTATGTTCTGGCTGCAGCTTCCATCGCTCACACTTTTCCATCTATCCTCGTCTACCCACTTCACTAAGCCAGCTGGCGGGCGCTGGGGCACGTCAAGCCCAGTGCCACCTTAAGGCGATGGCAACGCACGACAACGTGGTTAGGAAGTGGGTTGGAGGAATGAGATATCCCCATCGTCCTCCCGGGTGCCTGGGGGTGACCTGCAGTCACCGCTACCCTGGCCACCCTTTCTGCTCAACACTGGGCTGCTCGTTCCTCATAGCAGGAGCCCTGGGGCTGGAGCGTACCCGTCTTCCCAAGGCATCTCCCAAAAGGCTGGCTGCTTGATATGAGAATTGTTACTCGTGCCTTGGAGGAGTTCACGTGTCCCCAGTCCATCACTCAGGTCTCTGCCCTGGAGCTAGTCTCACTTGTCTGGGGGAAGATATGGTGGCCTCTGAGAAAGTAGCTTCGATTTCATCTTCAAATTCAAAATGCGGTCGAACCAAATCTGAAACATGCACAAGGCTCCTGTACGCGCAGGTACGGTCCGGGCTTGTAATGCGTGCGTGGCGTGCTGCGCCCGGGCGCCGTAACCTGTTACGCACCAGCTGCTGAGGAAAAATCTGCTCTTTATTGTCGCTTGTGAGAACAGGGCCTTGATCTCAACTACGTTCGTATATTGGTCTTTGCTAAAAAAAACCCCAAAACCACCAGCACACGATGGCCAAGGCAGCAGCCCAGCCCAAGGAGTCCTTGGCTGATGGGACCGAGGGCTGAGGCCATCTCACGAACGCTCTCTCGGAGGCCCCCGCATTTTCCCCGCTCTGCGGTGCCCATTTGCTTTCGGAGCAAGGTGCCAGCTGCCTGTCCCCAAGGGTGACACCGGGGCGCGGTGGCTTCCGAGCCGGATCAAGCTCAGCCCTCGCTCCCGTGCTCACCTCTAAGCCTGGTCACAGCGCAGCTGCTCCCGGGGATACACTTTGTTCATATGCTAATTTTCTTTATTCTGTTTCTTTTCCTCTTTCCTCCACAAAAAAACCGTTTGGTTTTCTTTGGTGAAAACACTTGAAAAGCACGCAAACGCAAACGTACGGTGCCTCCAGGTATGAAGTGCATGTGACCCTGAAACTGTGTGTCATGTCACTCCTTGTTCTTCGTTTGGGACTGTAACACGCAAAGCCTTTAATTAAAAATGAAAAAAAAAAAAAAAAAGAAAAAAAACCAAAAAAAGAAACCTCTGAAGATCGGTTTTTTTCAAAGGAATGAGTGAAAGCCCAAAGCAGCCCCCCCATCCCGCTGCTGACAGACTAACCCCATGCCCCTCAATGTGCGTTTTAGCTGTTGGTACACACAAGTGTTGGGAAGCTGTCTCCCAAAAGGACGATTTAAGGCAGGAAAATGGGAGAGCGCTTGATCAGCTTGCTTTTGTAAAGATGATTTCTTGATGGTCTTACCAACCTCCTCCGATTCATGCAGCGCTTGACAAAAAACCTTCCCCGTGCGTGCTTCTGTTTTCCGTCTGCCATCACTCCTGCACGTTCCCCTTTCTCCAGCCCTCTTTTTCCCATCTTTCACCCATTTGTCCCGCTTCATGCTGTAGGAGCTGTGCCCATCAGGTAACCAACCCTAGGTTTGCCACATTTGCTGGCCTGGTGGCCCTGTGGGACGCATCGGTGGCAGCACAGAATAAGATCGCGGTAGGAGCTGTGCCTGCTTTTGAGGACAACGTCTGGAGGCGAGAGAGATCTGGAATGCCTAACGGAAATGATCATTCATGTCTGATCTTTGGGAAAGGGATGTCCCATCTCAGCAGGATTTTTTCCATTTCATTTTTCTTCTTCCAAGACTGACCCACAGCCAAGCAGTTGTTAGCCCCGGTTATTCAGTCTGGGACTTGACCTTTGGGGATCCATCCAAATGCAAAGACATGTATACGGCTGTGTAAGATTTATGATAAATAACATTATCTCAGGTTCTGCAGAAAAGAGTGGATTTTCAAATCATGGACGTGTTTTAAATGAGGTGGCTGTCTGAAGGTGTAGGCAAGTCAATATTTTAAGGTGGGGAATACGTGGCTTGCATTTCAAGAGTGTGGGCCAAGCTCTGTCCGTAGAGCAGTTTAAATCCTCACTAGGTGCATTAGTGCTGTTAGAGCTGATATGATCTGGTGCCTGATTGCCAAATCTGGTCCCAGTTTTACAGCCTCAGTAAATCTCACGTGCCACTTTGTGCAGTTCGTTTGCAGCAAACTGCATCCACGAATGGCAAGTGTAATATTAGGAACGCATTTTCCTGTTGTGCTGAACAGCAGCCTGGTTTGAGAGTCAGGCTGCTGGGAGAAAAATAATAATGTGCCTCTTCCATCCCATTTTGTGTAATAAAATAGTTCATAAATTTCATAAATTATCTCAGTTACGAAAAGTAGCTTAGGCTGGAGACATAAAGTCATGGTTAGGGTAAAAATTGGCTCCTCATAGGAACTCCAACACAGCATGGAGACTCATTTAAGTCCTCATCCCATTCCAGCATCCATCTCCTTGTCACCCTCTTCCTAATTGTTCATACTGGGGCTGTTCAAAAAAATCATCGTCGTCTCTGTGTGCGTCGTGGTGTGTGCGTGGTTCTGTGTATGCTCCCGCCCCTGTTCTGTGCTGCTGCCCTCTGGTGTTGTGGGGTCCTGGTGCTGTCCTGCCCGGAGGCATGATATCCCTACTGTCCCCAGATGCTTGAGCGTTATCTGTGCTACCAGGAATAGAGAATTTGCCTTCCCTTTGGATCTGGGGAGCTGGCACCTGGAGTTAGTGCGGCGTTTCCCTGGGCTGTACTGGGAGGGGTGGTGGGAAGGAGCTGTGGGTACCACCAGGTCCCCTGCAGCAGCCGGCGACTCGGAAGCGTTGCTGTGGTGGGTAGCATGAGCTGTGTGTGTTCCCGTGGCGTGCAGGTCGTCTCACCTAGCTCCTCTTTAACCGAAACATGCTTCCCTTGCTAACAAGCAACACGCAGACCAGGAGGAGAGAGAGAAAACATGAGATGCCCCAGCCGGAGGTCCTTTCTCTACGTCTCTGGAGGACACAGTGGCACCTGTATCACCGTCCCCTGGGCCCACACACCAATGCAGGGTGCCCTCCTGGTGCTGGATGGTGCCCTTCATCCAGCATTTTATAGTGAAGCTCAGTTCAAGGGCTCTGCAGAGCCCTGCCTTCTCCTTGGGGTTCTGGTGAAATAGTGCAGCGCTGTAGCTGTTCCCCAAGCTGCTCTTGTGATGACAGGTTAGGCTGAGCATTCAATTCAGAGTAAATTTTGAGTCAAGTGCCTGGCTGAGTTTGCACCCATTTTTAATAATTATAGTTTCAGTAAAATGTTCTCTTGTCCACCACACTTGTACCAGGACCATCGCCCTACCACAGAAACAGTGAATTTCTGTGGTTGCTTATGTGTCTTTACCTTTGCACGGCAGCGTCTGTGGTGGCCCAAGAGATTGCCGCCTTCGGCACGGTGTAAACCTTGCGTTACTGGGCTAATGCAAAGGAAGGAGCTCCTTCTGGGGTCCTGAACCCTTCAACCTAGGGAGCTGATGAGCTCGCCAGCTCCGAGACTTGCATCGGTGGGAGCCCTGGACCTGCAACTCCAGGTGGAGGAACTGGGGCTGTTGTCCTGTGTTCTGCTGGGCATGGACCTCCCCGAGAAAATAACTCACCGAAGAACAGTTGTGCTCCCTTCGTTAGCTGCTAAGTACACTTTGTGCTTCATTTAATGCACCACCTTCCCCCATCTCAGAATGCATCTGCAAACCCTACGGTGGGTTGGAATGGAGGTGACAGCCCAGCACTTGTGCGCTGCTCTGCTGCACCAAGGTCAGCTTCTTCCTGATGTCTTGAGTGAAGAGGATCATTAATTCATCAGATCAGGATGTGCTCTTCTCTGGATGGAAGCGAACAGAGCTGGATTGGGGAGCCATGCCAAAATTTTCAGGCCTATTTTTATTCTTTTCTCCATACTTAGGATTGGAAAATTTTCTGATTGCCTCAATCTTGTGCACACCAGATCTGCTCTGCTGAACAACTGTGCTTTTGAGGATGAGTTTTGTGCATACAGAGGAGAGGCTTTTCCAGTTGGGTTTTTTTTTTTTCAGTTAGAGGAAAACTGCGAAATTCTTGGTCTCATAATGGCTGAAAAAATGTGGGCTTAAATATCTCTGCCTCTATTTTACAGTAGGCAACAGCCCCATTTCTTAGAGCACCTCAGCTGAGACCAGGCTGTTAGGGGAGTGCAAGTGCTTGCACTCCTTTCCTTCCAGTCCTAAGCTGCGCTCTGGGGACAGTTTGAACAGGTCCTTCTGGCTTTCATTAAAACCTAGGTGGTTAATTTTCCAGCAAAGCCATAAGTATACACTGCCTTGGGGTCGTGGCTCCCCGGGCTGTGCCCCCAGCAGCCGTGGGCAGCCTGTTCCCAGCCCCTTGCCCTCCCTTTATCCCTGCAGTGATGCATCCTCCTGCTGACTTGTCCCAAGTATGACCGGAGGGCTGACTTGGCACCCTCAGGGTACAGGGATGGTGTTTGACACTTGGGCAGTTTGACAAGTGGTGGCCCAGCGAGGAGTTTGCAGCAAGCCATGGGATGAGCCCCGTTGGCCTTGACCCCGAATGCAGGCTCCCCAAGCGCGCTCTTAAGTAGATGCTGCTCTTCCCAACCACGTGCAACATTCTCCATCCTCCCCCCGACACCTCCAGCTCACGTCTTTCTTGCTTGAAAACCTGGCTGTGAATATCAACATTAAATATTTAGGGAGCAAGCCCCGCTCTCCCAGGGTCTGAGGGAAGCAAGCAAAAGTGGATGTGGGAGCTAATTCAGTGGCTTTTAGCACAAAAGCAGGGTAGGCAACGGGGTGTTCATTTGTTGTTTGGTTTGGTTTTTTTTTTAAATTACTAACCAGGATTCCCATTGTCAGGTTCTTTTTCTCCCCAAGAAAGGAAAGGAAAGAAACCCATGGTTCCTCGGAGGCAACGATACATATTTTTTTCCTCCTTTTGGGGCAAAACCTGACATGGGCAGTAGGGAATTGGTTGAACTTGACCCCAGCTGTTTCTCCTGGAATGCTCCTGGCCTTGTGTCGCTGTTTCCTCTGCCCCATAAGCTGCTCCGTCCCGTGCCTCCCCACGTTCCCAAGAGCAGCAGGGCTGAGTTTTCCCATTTGTCCCCAAATCTGGAGCTTCTCTCCACCTAACACACAGCTGAATTGCTGACCTCCTGGCATAGCAATGCCGCCCGCTAGGTTACAGGTGGTGGGACAGCTCTCCTGCCAAAACACCACCGTGCTGCTCAGAAACCCCGGCAGCCGCTCTTTTTTTGGGGAAGTTCAAAATCCGGTGGTGCAGACAAGTTTCTCTCTCTCTCTTGCTGTCATCCTCTCTCTTCCCCCACTGCTCTGCTTTAGGACCCTGTTGGAAGTAGCACCCCAACCCCTCTCCATCCTTCCCGAGCTGTCCCCCAGTTGCAGTTGGTGGCATAAAGCTGGTTCTAGTTGAAAGGATGGGGCAGCAGGGGAAGTTTCCGAGAGAGGAGGCTCTGAAATCAGCTCTGCCTGAATATTAATGGTCTTTATTTTCTCCCTCTAGACTCATCCCTCCTCTGAACCAGCTGGAGCTCCTGAGAAACCTGAAGAGCAAATCGGGACTGACATTCAGGTTAGCAAGCAGAGTTAAGTGAACTTGGGAAGCACACACTTTGCAACCTTTTTCTTTTTCTTTTGGGTTTTTTTTTTTTTTCCTTCCTGCCTTTTGCATATGGACAGCCTTGAAGATGTGAGAGGTTTTGGCAGCTGGTCCCCCATGGGTCATCCAGTGACCTCCCTCCCCATCCTTCTCCCATGCTGTACATGAATTTCTTCAGCCTGACTTGGCTCTGGAGTAATATTACAGTGCTTGGCTGGAAGTGCAGTCGTATTTTCAAAGGTTCTGATCAAGGTAGTGGTCCCAGTTTTCCTCTGACCTTTCTGCTCTTCACCACCCTCAGAGGAGACTCTGCCCCACAATGTGTTAATTAACTCCCCGTTCCCTCCAGCCTTCTCTTGCCTCTCCCGTGAGCAGGCAAGGTTGTAGCGGTGAGAAATTTTTGCTAAATTTGCTCTGGCAAGGTATGCATGATTGCCCCAGAAGGCCAGGAGTCCTGCAGCTCAAATGGGTGCTCAGGAGGGGTAATTCTTGGGTTTTTAAGCAGGCGGGTTTGCCCCGTTTGGCGAATGGGGAGCGTGCAGACCCCAGGAGGGATGGAGAGGTGCTGGCTGTACTGGTGGGCATCGGGGCCAGCTGGGGAGGGGTGGGACGGGACCTGCCCTGGGCCGTGTGTCTCTGCAGAGAGTGGAGATCTGTAGACCCATGGGTCAGGTGGCAAACTTTAAAGTGTATTTGAGCTAGTGACCGAGGCCAGGCTTCCAGGCTTGTCTGAGCAAGCAGCAGGGGGTGGAGGGGCAATTTTTTTAGTCTCTCCAGGCTGCTGCCTTCAGCCTAAGGGCGAGGGGTCAGGGGCTGTGCAGATCTTGGCATCCCAGTGGCCACTGCTGGCTGGAGGCAGGGCCAGGGCTGGGGCAGCAGCATGCTCGGAGGGGAGCGAGCTCCTCCTGCCCAGGTCTTCTTGCAGTCTGGTTTGTCCCTTAGACTGTCTGGCCTTAGGAGGGGCAGACCCTTAGCTGCTGAGAAACACCCCTGGGGGGCCGCAGGGGCAAGGCTGCTGTGGGGCCCCGGATGAAATGCAATTTCCCAGGGTGAAGAAGCTGTGAATCAGAGTAGTTGAAGGCAAAGCATTTTCCTCATTGCTGGAGGGAAATGCCACCGAGATGCCTGGTCAGTGAAGGTGAGATTATTTTTTTTTTCAGCGTGGCCTTAGCTTGGCTTGCAGTGTTATGCCTACCCTTTTGCGGGCGTTCAGCTCACTTTGTCCTCGACGCCAATGATTTTTCAGGGCAGTCAGGTGGTTTGGGATCTCAGTAGGAAACCATGTACAAAAACTGTGGTGTCCCACTCCTTCCACGTAGCCTTTGACAGCTACATTGGCAAAGTAGCTGCCAAAGGCTTTGGGAGGCAGAAACCCCACCTGGGGCGTCGGGATGTCAGGGCAGGGATCCATGCTCCCTCCCACCCACGTCCCCCTCCCAGCACCATGTGTTGGCACTGCGGCGTGAAGCCATGCATCAAGAGATCTGATGTTAGCTCTGTCCCAGTGACCAGGAAGGAAAAGCTAATGCACCAGGGTCACGGGAACCGTCCAAATCCTTCCCCGTGTGCAGAAACAGCTCAGGGCAGTGCAGTTCCAAAGGAAGGGCACCGCTCCCTGAGCCCACAGAAGTCCTCCTGTGCTCACACAAATCACACGACCGTCAGGTGTCTCAGTCATGCGTAGGCACGAGGATGGGTTGGGATAAACTCTTCAACCCTGTGCGTTGTATGTGTCTTCTCCAAGGTTGTGTGAGTCTCCAGTGATCTTCTGCCCGGGCCAGGAACTCCAGGAATTAAGCTCTCCTTTCCCTTTCTTCTGTCCACAACTTCCACTTAGTTGTACTGTTTGGTATTGTCCTTTCGTTATGTTTTAACAGTGAAGCAGCAACATCTTTTGCCACCTGACACCATGCTAATGTACTATTGCTTCTGTTTAAAGGAAAGAGCAGCAGCCCGAACCATCGCCAAGGTCTGTATCACTGCCAACACGCCATCCCCATGCATTATCTGTAGATTTCTATGTACGTGTGTGCGTGTGTGTACCATGTCATGGTGCCATCGAGGGAAGCATTCTAGGTATTAACGTGCTTTTTCTGTGCTGTGGCAGTCCAATGTATCTACGTGTATGCTGGACCTTAAATCATATCTTCCTTCCAGTCTGCCTCGGGCCGTAGCTGCGAGGGTAGCAAGGCTGTGGGGGCTAGAGAGAGCGGTGGGCAGCACGGGCAGAGCTGGCGGACACTTACCCGGGGTGACAGCAGGGCTTTGGTTTATGCTGCTTTTTTTTTTTTTTAATTTTGTTGCTGGAGTCGTAGCTGAAGCGGTATAACGCAGGCTCAGTGAGCGCCGACGGGTAGGTGATGCTTTGCCTCTGTCTCCATCACCCAACGCCATGCCCGGCAGAGGTGACATGGGAACACGAAGCCATCACCGTGTCACCGAGTTAGCAACTTCTCCTGAGCTCCTCTCGCTGCAGGGTACGGCGCGGGGCTGCGTGGACCTGCTGCTCCGTGGGACGCAGGAGGGCTCTCTGACACGGCACCAGGTTGCGTGGCAGAGACACCCTTTCTCCACCTTTCTCCACCCCGTTGCCCTTGGCTTCAGAACCTCTGGATGAAGCACAGCCCCTGCTCCCTCTTCCCTCCACGCCTCCAGCCCACCGTGCAGAGCGTGCTCAGCCGGGCGCCCTCTGAGACGGGGCGAGCACTTTCCAAGGCCAGCCATAAATCTCAGCCACAGGAGAGCTTTTCGCTATTCACACATCCCAGGGAAAGCGACAGGGCTGGTATTTGGGATACCTTTAGGCTACTTTTCATCCCCTTAAAACTACTTATTTCTGTTTGGTTTTTTTTCCCCTATATGTTCCCAGTTCTTTTAAGAAGCAATTCCGGTACTGAATCTCATCTTTTTTTCTTGGGAGGCAAGATGCAACAGATGATCTGTGGAGATCATCTGCTTGCCTTTCAGATCTTCCATCTCATATCTCCAAACATGCCTTACAGCTTAAATATTGTAAACTCTGAAGATGTTTTTCAGAAGTATAACTAGAGCCTGGCGTTTTGCAGATGTAACTTTCTGCTGTGCCTTCCAGCTTATAAGAGGCCAGAAACTAATTTTTCCCTGGCATAAAATCCAACCAAAGATATCTGGGTAGATATGGTGCTGACTAAAGGGAGGAAAATTTCATCCTTCCTTCCTTCCTTCCTTCCCCCCCTTCTTTTTACAGTCTTTCATTTGAGCTTTTCTTTGCAAGCAGAACCGCTGTAGCACTCCATCCACTTTCCTGCCAAATAAACCAAATCTCCAAGATCATGTTTCAACTATCCAGATTTATTTATTTTTTTTTTCCCTACTTGGGGTCTCGGCCGGTGCATTTATAGTGAAGGCAGCCTCCATCCAGCTTTAATAAAGCAGGGAGTGTTACATGGGGAGTGCTCCCTGGGAGCAGACCGAGGTTGAAATCTTGGCCACCCGCCCGTGGCATCAGGACGGTCAGCGTTTCAGCCCCGGGGGCCCGTGCAACGAGATGAAATCTCTGTTCAACCCAACCAGCTCCGTAGCCGAAGAAACCTGGGGACTGATGGCCCCACGTTGGGTGACACCAGCCAGCATCCCTGCAGTCACAGACACTAGTCTGATTTCTGAGGCACTGGTCTTATTCCTTAGTTTTGAATCTCAGTCCTGTCTTGCAGGGTTCATCTTCACCAGTTAAAACACTAGGTGGGATTTAATATTTCTTTGTCGAAGTTGCAGGTTTTTCCCTGTTCATTTTCTCCATTGCTTTCTTAATCTTAGGTCACGAAAAGAAGTCAAACCAGCCTTTCGCTGCCCTTTTCTGGAGTGTTTTTTACGATATATAGCTCCTTCTTCAGGGTCATTTCCAAATGCTGCTTCCCTGCTCCTGTAGCCTATCTGGCTCCTGTGGCACTGATGGGTTTCCTTGCCCTCTGTTGTAAGATGCCAAACCTGCACCCAGCAGTGCACAAGCTGGGGGTCTGCCGTGTTTGTGGCATTAGAGGACTTCCAGAGTACTGTTTAGTTCAGCTGCCATGGCAGAACCAAAGCTCTTCCCTTCTCTGTTTTGTTAGGGCAATATAAATTCTACCTGCTCCCACTGCTCTTTTCCACCTGATCACGTCTCAGACCTCAGAAAGGAATTTTGCACAGCAGTCCCTATATTCGGGGGCCCCCAAATCACCTATTTTCCCAAATAAAAGTTTCTGGATTTTTTTTTTTTCTTACATTCACATCCCAAATCTCCCACCCACTTTCATTTCCAACAGCCTCCCGGTGATGCTCAGTGTGTCACCCTGCCCTTAGAAAAGAAAAGTTGCCCAGTTTCTCAGCCCACCTGGCAGTTCATCACTGGTCTGTTGCCGGGGACTGCTTCACTTAGGAAGCTCCTTGGGGTGAATCGTGTCTCATAGCAGACCCCAGCACCACACTTCTCCTGCTTCAGCTGGCAAAGGATCTGCCCCTTTCCATTTCCATCGGTGCAAGGAAACATTCAGTCTCTCACCTGGAGATAGCCAGATCTTCCTCACATTGTAGTTATGTGTAGGGAGTGGCTGATTTCCTAGGTCCCTCTTTCTATAACTGATACACCACAAAGTCCTTACAGCAAACAGAACAGAAACAGCTTTTTCACTGTTTTGCATCTTAAGTTAGAGAAGGGATGCTGGAATGCGCTGTGCAAGGCAGACATTGCCTTGCAAGGTCAGGGAGTGTCCCAAATGCCCCGCCAGCGCGTGGGGTGGCTCTCGGGGTCTTGGCCATGCACCCGCGGCGCTGCCGCCCTCTGACTCCAGTGCTGCCGATTTCTGCCGAGGTGGCACCCGGAGAGCTGCTGCCCGGGGCGGGAGGGCACGGGGAGGCGATGGGGTCAGCATCCCAGAGGCTTGGGGTCACCTGGAATTACTCGGGTGGCTTTTGATTTGGTCTTGGTGCAAAACGGGACAGCCAATCTGAGGGACAGGTTACGTCCTTTCTCTGCCACTTTGGGTTTGTTCCTCACTGCGAACTTGTCTGCATCCAGCTGTGGCCGAGCGCCGGGCAGCTGTGTCTGACCTGGGGGGGGGGGCAGGAGCTCCCCTCCCTGCCACACGGAGCCCAGGCGGTGATGAGCAGAAACGACGCTGGCCTTTTTCTACACGCTACGTACCTCTTCCCCCTTCTTATTTTCCTCCCGGTTTAAAAACTGCTTACAGAGCCTCGTCTGTTGCCCGGCGCTTTGGGTGCTGTGGCCACCCTACCACCTGCCTTGGCCAGGAGAGGTGGCCACCTGCAGGCTGGCTGCGGGAGCGGGTAGTCCGGGAGCACGCTGCTCTCGTGCACGGTCCAAGTAGGAGTCCTCTCTGCCCCATAGCACCAGGGAAGGAGGGCTGCTCTGCCATGGGGCTTTTCTCACCCCTCCTGCTGCAGTGGTAATGGGGTTTGATTACTCAAAGGCTGGAAATCCGCTGTGGCATCTCGTCCCTGTTTATTTTGTCTTCTGATTGCAATGTCAGAAAGACAAACGTATGGTTAGCCAGGACTACAGAGCCCTCTCTATGAAATGTGTGCTTCAGATGCTCTTCAACAGATGGTTTGATAAACATCTGAAGGCATCCATGACCACATTTCTTCCTCTTGTATTTTCCAAAACATGATTGGGTGAAAAGCTAAAAATGAATGAACCGAGCGATCATCATAACACATTAATATCAGAGAAACAGAAGGATTCCAGGGAACTGGGAAGCTAAAACTCAGATTACTTTGTCCAGCATGAGTTGAGCCCTGTAGGTCATGAGAGGATCCTCTCTAGAAGGTGTCCTCAGCTGCGGTTTGTCCTTGACCCTAATGAACTCAGCAAGACCTTGGCCATTACGTTGAGTGAATGCTGGACTGGGCCACCTCGTAATGTGTATGTATATCTGTGTGTATATCTATATCAGTGTATGTATATGTCTGTCTGAGATACACACAACGTTAACATCTCTGTTCAGGGGTGTGATTAAGGCTTTTGTACGCACTGGAGGATGCCTTTGGTTGACTCAGTGGGCCCCTGCTCATCCAGCCTAGGGCGTCCGAGGTGCCACTTGCCGCTACTGCCCGTGGAAACCGGTGTCAATCACAGGAGCCCGATGGCCCATGCCAGCCTGGGTTGGCGTTTGACCTGCTAACCAATTAAACTGGTGTCAGAGACTCATGCTGGGACTGACAGTAATCTGGAAATAATCAGTTGCCTTTAGGGGAGCGGATTATTTGCACGGAAAGGACCGCATCTTTCCATAGGGACTGCAGAGGAGACTGAGAGGAGAGCAACCCACGTGTCTCCCTGAGGCTCTGCATGCTGGATATCCCACTCCCACGCCGCGATGCTCAGACCCCCGCTCCAGAACAGCCCTGGTAGCACCACCAGTCCCCGGGGGCTCCCTGGGGATGCGGGGTCCCGTTGCGGGTGCCGAAGGAGTCCCCAGGATGCAGAGGGTGGTGTCGGCTGAGCTTGCACGGGATGCCACGAAGCAGAAAGAATTCCTGCAAATTCCTTCTGCGCGTGCCCGCGAGCTCCTCCGATTGCCGAGTTCACGTGTGAAACAAGGCTGGGGTTTTTATGCCCTTCAGCCTTTTTTGGTCTGTCCATGAACTCGGCAAACGATGCCCGCTGGTGGCCAGGCGGGGTGACGGGGGCCACGTCATTACCCTTCCGCAGGTAGAGGGCTGCTCCATGGCGCGGAGGAAGCCTGGGCATGGTGGCGATCTCCTGGCAGGGCAGTGCCTGAGCGGCGATTTGGGATGGGCTGACGGGAGCTGTGGTGGTCCGACTCCCCAGAAGTGGTAGGGCCCGTCTAAAAAGCGTGACGAAAACCAGATGCGTGAACACAGATGTTCAAATCCTGTCCCAGAAGGGACTGCACCACAACCCCGTTTTATCTATTTTTTTTTTTTTAAATGCCAGGCTTAATATAATGCTGGTTCCTATCTGAGAAA